ACTGACCAACATACACCTACTGGCCTGATTGAGATAACTGCAGAGGAATCCTAAAATGCCCACAATGGACAAAAAAAGAAGTCCACAGAAACTTACTTCATTAGACTTAACCGAGGTTTTTTTTTTTAATGGTAGATTTTGTTCCTGCTGTTTTTAAGGTATGTTTGTGTCAGACATGTTCAACACGCGCATGATGGGAATAATAACACTAAAGATTTGTCTGCAAAAATTAACAATTTTATGTCCTTAGAGCTGCGGAATAGATCACTTATGGTCAACAGTTTCATTCAGGAAATCTTTATGTTATGCAGCAATTCCTGCTGAAATTCAGTTGGACATTACTGTTTACTGAGTTAATATACAGTTTAACACAAAAATGACAACATTTATGTAAGAGTTAGCAATAAGTTAAATAACTGTTGGAAAGTGTATTAGTCAAGTAAGGAGCACAATACATCGAAAGCTTCCCCGTAGCATAATGTTGCCATCACCAAACGCAATGAAGGGGATGATATTATCACTTTGATGTGTTTTAACAAATCCTGTCACCAGACTAAAATAACTAAAGTTGGATTGCAACATGAGACCAACTGTGCCTTTCCAAAGCATATTAATTTCAGAATGCCTGCATTTGACCCTCCAGTCAATAACGTGTAGAATCGCGGCGAGGTGTAGATATTTTGGGGTAGATTTCTATGTGCTTTGCACTTCAAGAGACTCAAGGTGTTGCCCGTGATTGTTTGCAAAATAACACAAGTTTATTTAGTTGTGAATTTCCGTCCCAATCTAAGATCTTTCAAAAGGCCTCATGCTAATTGATGATTAGCATGATCCTTCACTAATACATACTATATGGATGGAGTTTTACACAGTTTTTTGTGTGTTCTTGCATGTCAAAAACGTCTGTTTCTGTTTCAACTCATCAGAGCACCTTTCCCTGCACATCTTGTGGAAGACAGAAAATGGATTTTTGTAGCTTTCTTTCAGAAAATGCCACTCCATCAAGGCCAGATCCAACCTTCTCCACTTATGTTGTGTCTTCTTCGGTCTGCATGATTCTGCTTGTTCTCTAATCTCATCAACAAACCTCTGATGCCTTCGAACAACAGCTGGATTTATTAATTAATACACAAGTGGAATCTACTGACCTCTGACATTAACTGGTTGCTCTGGATTTTACATTTGAGGCATCAAAGCAGAACAGCATTCAAAATAAGATACCATTTTGTGCAATTTCCTAATGTATTTATGTGAAGGTAAGACTAAAAATCATCCAGAAAAAGACGCCTTAAAAATGTTTGGAACATTTGGAAAACACTGGTTGCCGTCTTAGTTTACAATTTGCAGCTCAGTCTTTCAAGCCTCCAGCCTAATGTAGGTCAATACAGTAACTGAACTCTGTTTTTTTCCACTGGCTCGGCTGCAGCTCCAATTCCTTGCAGGCCACAGGCAGGATACAGATTTTACAGAGACGATTGGCACCGCTAAGATTTTTGGAGAAATCTTCATAACTCGTTGATCACATCCGTGATGAAAACAGCAGCTTTTCCCGCACATGCTTGGTGTGTGCTGACGGTGCTGAAGGAAGCAGGTGTGTACGTATCATAACCAGGTCACTTCCTTGAATTAAAAGTGGACTTCCCCCATGGCTCCATGGGAATTCTGCACATAAACACATCACGGAAGGATCTAAACAAATAGGATCCTGGCGAGACAGAGGAATCTAAACTAAATTGTGGTTTTCTGGAGAAAATTTAGATCCTTCACAGATGGATTTGCTGAGATCCTTCAAACCCCCCAGATTGTGAAAACCCACCTCAGACCTAATTTATGACATATGCCAACAATTAGCCTACATTTCATATCCTGCGAGCCGAACCGCCTCCACATCTCGCACCCCTCCTTCAATACAAAAAAAGAGAAATGCCTCCGTCTCTGACCCAAACCACAATACAACTTCATGCATTACTTGCACATTTCTTCCGTCTTTTGCTCCTCGCGCTTTTGCCCTCTCAGCATTTTTGTGTGTGTTTTTATGAGGCTATCATCATTATGGGCCGTTTCCCCTAACCCAGGGTCAAAGCCTTTCCCATCTCGCCACAGAACTCATTACCCGTTAGAATATGGACTGAAACACAAAAGCTGTCAAATGGATTGCTTTACTTCTCAGCCTGAGAAGGTGTTTATGCAAACGGATTCACAAACGCAGCCCACAAACAAATCCTGATTGTTGCAGAAGAGAACGAAGGTCGCCCCAGACCGGAACTCGCACCACAGAAAATCGACCCAGCATAGTAGAGTGCCGAGAAGTAAACCGTTCTTTGCAAGAAGGACACAGCAAATTAACGTTGAGGACAAAACTCTCGTGCAATGAAACCAAAACTCAGGTTATTTATGGCAAAGCACATAGTGAAGCATGGCAGTGGCAGAATGATGATGTGGGGAGGCTTTTCTTTGGCAAAGAAAGGGAAGTTGAGCTAAATAAAGGCCAATCCAGGAAGAAAAGCTCATAGAGGTTTGCATAAAACGTCAGACTGGGATGAAGGTTCATCTTCCAGCAGAACAACAAACCTACGTATTCAACCAAATGAAAAGGGGAGCATTTTGGATCAGCACAATTCCAGGTGTTGAAGTGGCAACATCAAATTTAAGACCCAACTCCAAAGGAGAATTATGGGCAAGACTTTCAAAAAAATTGATCCTCGGCTTTTATTTATTTTACTTTATTTTAAATTGTACGTCACCTACGACTACAATACGATTTTATCTACATGCTTTCTGTTGTTTTGCACATGTTGTTGTTTACGCATTTCTTATAACAATTGCAAAAGATTCCATCTCTGTTTTTACAACCTCCTTTTTATTTGTATTTTATTTTTTACCTGATTCTCATTCTATGTTATTCCTTTGTATATTCTGTTGTAGTTCCCAGTTGTGACCTGAGAGCATCTCCGATGACAATAAAGATAATCTGAATCTGTCCCTCTATTATTGACTAAGCGCTGATTTGTGATCTCCATTCCCACCAGCATCATTACTCCACACTAATTAGATTTCATCACCTCGCATGTTGTTCATTCCTTTAATAAAGGCTTGTTTTGTCTCACCCAGCGCGGATGTAAGTGTCTGCATGAATCCGAGTATTTTATAAACTTGTTTTTTTTTATTTGTTTATTCATTTTTTCTCTCACCTCCGGGTTGATCTGCCGCTGCGTCGCTCCATGCGCTCTCAACTCCCAGACCACTGCAAGCAGCAGCAGCCGGACCACCGACCTGACCTCGGGAATCATCACTTCACCCAGAGGGGAAAAAAAAGAAGAAAGAAACAGAGACCTAACTTTGGCAGATGTCCCTGAACGCGTCTGCGCTATCTTCCCCCTGTGTTTCTGTTTTCTTGTCAAAACATCTTCCGCGGATGAAAAGAAGAAAGCAACGCTCCTTGGCCGACTTAGCGAGATAAACTGAATAATAATAATAACAATAAAAAAATTAAAAAGTAAAAACGCGCCTCTCTGCAACTTCAAACTCGCGTTATTTCAACTGGTAGATCTCCGGTCTATGCATTCTTTCTCTTTCTTTTTTGTGCTTAGTTAGATTTTTGCTTTTTGCTTATTTTGCGCACGGTTATCGAACTTCGCTGTCGTTCCTGAAGGCAGGAAGTGAAGCGGGGGCTCTTCAGCTTTAGCTCCAGATGTGGCAGCGGGGCTTCTGTCTCCTCCTTGTCCTCTGCCTGCTGGACTCTCCTCAGCCTATCCCGACCCCCGTCTCCTCTTCCCTCTGCAGACGTGGTACCGAGAAACTCCCGGGAGGTTTTTCAGCTGGAAAAGATCGGGCTGCAGTCTCTCCTCCTCCTCCTGCTCCTCCTCAATCTCCCCGCCTTCTCTTGGAAAAAGCCAAACGGATTTCAACTTGGTGACCGATCAGGCTTGGCGCCGCTTTCTCTCACTAGCGAGTAAATAAGTTAAAAGCCTTAATGACGCGCAGAAATGTTGGTGCAGTCATGAGAGAAGATAGAATTAAAAAATAAAAAAAACCTTTTCATTTATAGGCCTATATACATTTTTGTATCATCAGCTTTCTATCTGTTTGGCATCTCAATATCTTGACACAGATGAAGGCATTATCAATTTTTTATTTATTTTTTTATCTTTGCACGTTAATTTTTTATTATTATTATTTTTGTCATCGCTTCAGTTCGAGACGAGCACAAACACACCGTTTACCATTTGCGCCATCAAACTGCGTTGAGAAGACGTAACCGCGCCCCCTAACGGTCGTATGATGTAAGGTCAAGAGCTGGGGTCAAAACCCTCGTTTTATTGCGAAGATCACACTTTCTTGTCACTTCTAGAAATTAGATTTGTGCAGAACAGTGACAAAATGTGTTTTCTGTGACATTAAAGAACCGGGGCTGTAGTCCTACTGGGGGAGCGGCGAGCAGTGAAGATCCAACAACAATCAGATCCACCAAACAGTGTCAATTTTTGACAAAACAAACGCTTTAACTTTATGGAATGAAAAAATGATTTGTTTTAGGATATGGAAGAAAAGCCTGTGGGTTACAATCTAGTGGAGAAAAGAAAATGGTATCTCTGCAACAACAAAAATCAGATTGTTTTGTATTAAAAACAATCTGATATATATATAGAGCACACAAAGCCCTGCTCAGCTCTATGTCTGTGTCCAAAATTATGATGGATAATGTGAGGGTGCAATATTAATGAGAAGTTTCATTGAATAAAAGCTTTCCTGTTACCTAACTTTTTCTCTCTTTACATACTTACCTTGATGACCAAACAATGGTAATTTTTGATCATACTTTTAGGAATATATATATATACATGTGTTATATATATGTTATAGTGATAGCAATCGTTCACATAATGGCAAACACACAGTATTTCCGATCCTTCTTGTCTGTGTCAACTCATTCAATCAACTCATTACAAGGATTTCTGTAGTGTTAAAAACCACTAATAAAGTAGTGAACTTTTTTTTTTCTTCCCAAAGTGAATATTTTTAATATAGGGGTTACATAAAGTACAGCTGACAACAAACTGACATAGATTTTAATATATATATATATACTTATAAACATGTAGGTTTAGTAAGTTTAGTAGCTTTAAATGGGTTACAGATCTCACTCGTGGATCATACAGCAACAGTAACAATAACATTCCCCAAGCTGAAGGGCTAACATCACAGGACAGACCGCGCCCGCGCCGGGCTCACAACAACAGCACATGTGCTTTTGTTTCAATCGAGCGATACAGTAGAAAAAAATAGACTAAAAGACATGAACCAGTGCTCCCCTCCCCACAAGAAAATGAACAAAAAACATAAGAGCAAAAGACTTCGTATTCCTACGGCACTGCATTGTGTTGCCTTTATATTCTCTCACCAAGCAAATTCTTAATTTTGTTTCTTTTGGGCCGGCTCCCCTTCACCACACTGTATCAATGTGAACTTCTTTTGTTTCTTCCTATTTCTATTTTGTACATGCAGAACTAATCTGAACCCGAGTAGCAACACCGCTTTTTTTCTCTCGGTAGCGAGTGATAGAGGTAAGTCGCTCTTTAAACTGAAATTCAGCCACATGTTGTTTTCATGAGATTTTGTATTACACAGTAGTTACATTGATTGGGCCAGTGCTGGTGTTCGGGCCTTTTGATTCTGAGACAGATGAGATGACAGATGAGTTCTCAACCCCAATAACTGTGAGTAACGTCCTGCTGTGAGACAAAAAAATGTACTGGAACCAAGAAAGCACATTTCCCTACAGCAGAGCATGAAGGAATGAGACAATTATGGAAAATTCAACACAGAAAAGTGGGTACAACCTGATGTATTATGGGTAAGAAATGTCCCAAAAAAAAAAAGTTGGTGAAATGGCGAGGAGGCAAAACAAAAAAACAACACCTAAGCATTACCAAAACAGTTCATTTTGGTTATACTTAAGCTTCTTTGGTGCCATACGGATGAGCTTCAACACATGGCACAACAGTCACTAAATGTTTCAAAAACAACGTGAAAATGGGCAAACTTGCTCTTTAAAGAACTTTTCAGTGACTCGTGAAGATGCTGGAACAGGGTCTTCTTGTACGCTCGTGATTAGTACTATGAATCACATAATTCAAGGCTTTGAGACAATTGCTGGAAAACCCAGTAATAATTGGACTACTTCCTCTTTTGTAACACAAGACAGCCAAAGATGGTTGGCTCACAAACTTTACATATGAACATATTACACTGATTATCAAACTGTCTGAAATGTGTTGTGGAAGCAATGCTTTGTGAAGGCCAGCAGTGTTGTGCTTAAGGACAAACAATAAAATGAAATACCAAAAACATTTTCTAGCCAAACAGTCTGACTTAAGTTATGACTCTTTATCTGGTTCTTCCCCAGTTTCCTCTGAGGTTACAGTCGTCTTCTGTGCTGATTTATGTTCACCTTGACCCACAGTCTTCTGGTCATCAGCTGACTGAGTACTGGTGTTGAGGAAGGCTTGATACTGGTTCCAGAAGCCCCCTGAGCTCCTGGTGGCTGGAATGTTTAAGGACACAGAAGATGCAGACGAAGGAATCTGGTCGGAGGAGGAGCGACTGCTCCTGGCCGGTGGGCGGGATGGTTTGGCTGCACCCCCATGGTGCTTCATGTGTCCCTGGGAAGGAACATGGACAACATAGTTCTCACTCAAGTGAACTGTTTATTCTCATCATTGTGTTTATTGAGGGATCTGTGTAATTATGTGAGAATGCCTGTTGATGGAGCCATTGTCAAAGAAGATTTTCTGTCACCAATGGACACAGATAAAGTTTTTCTATTCTAAAAGAAAGAGCACAATGGATTCAGAAAGACAGGAGAAAGAAAGAAAGAAAGAAAGAAAGAAAAAAGAAATAAAGAAAGAAAGAAAGAAAGAAGAAAGAAGAAAGAAAGAAAGAAAAAGAAGAAAGAAAGAAAGAAAGAAAGAAAGAAAGAAAGAAAGAAAGAAAGAAAGAAAGAAAGAAAGACAGAAAGAAAGAAAGAAAGAAAGAAAGAAAGAAAGAAAGAAAGAAAGAAAGAAAGAAAGAAAGAAAGAAAGAAAGAAAGAAAGAAAGAAAGAAAGAAAGAAAAAGAAAGCCAGAAAAGGAAGAAGGAAAGAAGGAGGCAAATTGTTGGTACGTCTGAAGGAAAAAACTCTGGCTATACCATGCTTTCAATGCTTGAAGTTGACATAAAACATATTTCATACTCTTTCTATTTATGAATTTCTTGTGATTGAAAACCTCTAAAATGACTAATAAATAACACCATTGTCAAGTAATATAAAGTACAATATATTAAAGATTTCAAATACCATAAGACCTGGGGGTCTTTTAGTTTATGGTGTGCGCTACTTTAGTAGGATCTTCCTCAAACTTCACAATAAAAATGTAGCTTACATTGACATTTTTACTTGAATTCATTTCTATTGCTGATTTATACAGATATAGAATTATTTTACGCTGAGAAACAGTTTCACAGCGATTACATCACGCTATTGGATCAAATTGTGTGTGCAGATACACAATTTACACCAGAAAAAATATATATTTTTACCTTTAATCCACTGCGACTGGCGTACTCTTTTCCACACTCAGCACAGCAGTACGTTTTCTTTTCAGGACGGGACATTGGAGATGGGAGGGTTGGAGCAAGGCTAATGGGCACCGAAGCCTCCAGAGCTTCGTTTGAAACCAGTCCACTCATTTTACTGGCATCCGCCTGGTCTTCCCTCCCATATGAACCAAAGAGAAAGCTTTGGCCGGTCTCCCTGACAGACGTGGCTTGCTTGTGCAAACCCTCCCTTACGTCAGCAAATATGGGGTCTGCATTCTCCACCAGGGGAGTCATTTTGAGGTCTTCCTCAGGCACAGTTACTTGCTCTTGTTGTTGTGGTGCACTTGTAGAAGATTGGCCTTTGTCTTCCTTCATGGGTTCTGGTGATTGTGGCCTTGCGGCGTCGGAGTGTGATCCCAAAGCTGCCTTTGTGCCAGCATCACAATCACCTTCAGTTGACATAAGGTTAGAGGTTGAACTAGTGTAATCATAAGGAGCATCCGAAACGGGTGTGCTTTGTAAGTCCTCTGGGTTTGGTTTGGAATCAAGGAAAGCGTCAATGTTAGGTGATTCTTTCATCTTTGTGGGGTCCATCATCATTGAAGGGGGTGACTCTGTCATTTTGTTATCACTAAAGAGAAGTGGTGAGGGGTTAGATGTTGGAATGAACATGTCAATAGATTCTTGATGTTGGACTTTGTCATCTTCATTAGGAGGCAAAGCCGAGTCTGACCTTTGGGAAACCTTTAGTGGTGAACTGACACAAAGGACAGGAGGATCTTCAGAGCTGCATGGTGGGCTTTGTGTGTTAGAATCCATAGTTGGGTCAGGGCTAAGGTCAGCCGGGGGGATTTGATTTGGACTGGAGGGTGGAGAATTACCACTATTTTTCTCAGCTGGTTTTTTGCTAAAAGAGACAGGAGCTGAATTAAGAGTTTGAGTTTGGAACTGTGAGTTCGGTTCTGGGCTCTTTACAGGGCTGGCATGAGGAGGTGTTTTGCTGGAAGGGGGGACTTGATCAGTGGACTGGGAAAGGCATTGTGGCAAGGATCTGGGATTAGATTCAGATGAGATCTTCTGTTCAGACTCCTCTGAGCCATCTGGGGGCAACTGTCCACCAAGGTGCATGCGTATGTGGTGCTGAAGAACAAGAGCATTGGTAAACTTACGCTGGCACAACGGGCAAGAGTTTTGGACATTGGGTGGCCGGGCATGATGAGTAGCAAGATGTGACCGCAGGCTGCCTTTGGTAGAGAAGGAGCGCCCACATATCTTACATGGAAATGGACGTTCTCCAAGGTGTGTGGCCTGGTGCAGCCGCAGTGCTCTAGGACAACTCAACACCCGAAGGCACACTCCACACTGATTGGTTGTCAAGTTATGGGTCGAACCAGTGGCATTTGGTGATGGTAGCACACCACCCATCATGGTATTTCCTTCATTGCCACTCATTCTAAGAGCAACTACCATCTCACGGGTGAATTGGGAAACTGATGTGGTGATGTTTGATGATGGAGATGCAACTACATTGGTCATGGAGCTGCCTGCATTTGTGAAGCGGGTGTTTGATGAACTCCCAGTAGATGAAGTGGTGGTGCTTGACAAAATCTCCAACATGGATGTTGGAGTAGAGGAGGAAAACCATGGAGTGCAGGAAAGTGAAGGGGACTTCTCTAGCTTCTCAACTAGTCTCTGCAACTTAGAGGTTTCAGATGTGGGAGTAGCAGTTGCTATGGATGTGGGCAGAAAGGACTGAATGGTGGTAGTGGGTGAACTGGGATTTTTGGGAAGGGATGAAATCGGAAAAGAAAGCTGCGAATGACTGGAAGAGGCTTGTGGTTGGGATCCTGCAATAGACGGTAGCTGAGTGCGTAGTAAGCTCAGTGATGGATGGCTGTAGAGAGGTGAGTGGGCCGCTTGGGTAGATGAAGAAGTTGAAACAGGTGAGAAAAGGAGCTTTGGGAGGTGAGCAAGTTGGGAATAAGCAGCAGGAGATAGCAGAGGTGCATAAGGTGGAGTGTTTTCATCAAAGCGCTGCTGTTTGACACCTTTGAATAACCCAGCTATGGTAGATGATGAAGACAGAGAAGGGTTTGAGAGAAGGGAGGTCGCCAAAGAAGAGCTGGAGGATGAAGAGGTTGGGATAGAGGAAGCACTAGCAGCAGCAGCAGCAGCAGCCCTATTAAGCTGCAGGAGAGAATGTGAAATCAAAGCTAGGTCCACACTAGGCGGTAGGGGCAAAGTGGATGGAGCTGACTCACCCGAGGTCCCCATAGAAATGCCACTACTGTTACCACTGATTGTCAAGTTGTCTCCACATGTTTCATCCTCCGTCCTACTTTTTCGCTTTTTTTGTGCTATATTCATCCCGCTGGTACTCCCAGAACTATCAGTAATTTGTCCCATATCTGATCCCCCACTGGCTCCTAAGGCTAACCCAAATAAAGATGGTGGCAGGAGTGAAAGAGAAAGCTCTGGATTTTGTTCACGGTGACGAAGGAAGTGCACCTTCAGATTGCCTCGTGTTGTGAAACGACTGAAGCACACGGGGCACTGATAGGGCCGTTCTCCTGTGTGTGAACGGAGATGAATCTGCAGAGCAGAATCACTGCTGAACACTTTTCCACAGAAGCGACAAACATGCTGGAGACGACTAGCAGTGTTGGAACTTGATGCGGATGAGTCGCTGCCGACAGTGGCAGCTTGCAACTGTGAGTTCGGGTTTATAGACTGAGGTGAGGTAAGGGATGAGCTTAAAAAGGACAAATCACTCTGCGCACCTGCTGTTGTAGTATTGGAAGATTTCTCATGTAGGTAGCGATTGGGTAGCGCTAAGGATAGAGCTAAAGCATAGGTTGAAGAAGGCACTGAGACACCTGCAGAGGAAGTTGTGAATGAAGAAGAGCATTGGGAGGTTTCCCATGACTGACCAGTCTTTCCTGTTCCTTCAAACTGGGATTTATGAGGTTGCAGGATGTGAGACAATGACGTGCTTGGCTGTGTGGTTTTGCTGGCTGTTTGAGAGGGGTGCAGGGAAGAGAAACATGATAAGAGAGGAGCCAAAGAAGTAGTGGGTTGCGGTGCTGCTGGCTGGGTTACGGAGCCGGATGTATTTTTATTACCTTCCAGACAGAGTTGAGGCAAAGGGGGGAGGACATGCTGGGATGGTGTATCTATGGTGTAGGAGTCCCCACCCAGGCGTAACACTTGTCTACAGATCTCCTCAGTGATCTGCATCTGGTGGATCTGTCGTTGCTGCAGCACCCGGAGCTCCTCCAGGATCAGAGCGATGCTCAGTTGGGTCCTTACAGGTGCTGCTGAAGCAGACGTTAATCCTGGGCTTGGGGTGGGAGTTACAGGACTTGGAGGACCCTCAGGTACTCGACTGGGGCTTCCAGGGTGTGGTGGAGGGCCTAGTGAGGTTGAGGAAGATGAGGAGGAAGAGGAGGTGGTGGTTGTGGCTGACAGGCCCAACTTGGGAGAGGCCATGTGTGCACTTTGGGAATAGTGGCCAAGTAGCACTGGAGAATCAGGATTCAGGGAGCGTTAAAGGAAAGGTAGATGTTTGATGATAGAAAGATGTGTATGGAAAGTAATAGGAAAGAGAGTTTGGTAAATCTTTGAATGGCTGTCCTGACAACGAGGGTGTTAATGGAGCCTGTGTGGGTATCGGGGGATCTGAAAGTCTTTAAAAGATGTACAAAGAGCAAGGGGCAGATGGGAGTTTTGAGAAGACGGGGAGCACAAGAGAGAATCCGTGATGATTGTGAAGGAAATTTACTTCACTGGCAGGTTGTGACCTGGAGAGGGTTAGAAAAAAACATCTAAATTTAGGAAAAGGAAGCAAGTTTTAAGCAAAACACACATTTGTAATCAATAAATAAGGTTTACCTTTTGGGTTTATTTCCACCGGTTTAAAATCTACCTTTAAAATCTACCTAACCCTAATCTTTTTCCCTGTCAGTTTTTTTTCTTTATCAAAGGCTGTCTCTTTACCCCCATCTACACTCACAAAAGCAAACATTATGCAGGCTGAGCACAAACCTGCACACAAAAAAACCCAGCTGTGCCCTGCCATTAAGGAGTGTTTCCATGGCAACACTCAGAGGAAAAAACAACGGACTTCAATACCAATAGACATCCTGCCCCATTAAAACATGAAGTTGTAATGCATTCTTTCATTACAGCTTCAGTTCTTTGGGAGCCCTGGTAGTGAGTTCACTGCTGAATACTGAATGAATGCACAGCAGACGTGACCTAAAACACTCTGAAGTCGCTTTCCTGATACTGTTCAGAGGCAAGCAGAGAAAGCAGGGTCGCATGCACTCTTTTTAAGCAAATTAAAAGAGTGTAGTTTAAGATGCACCGTGGACTCCATTTTTGGAACTAAAGTGGACAATCAGACACTGACGTGAACAAGCATTTACGTAAATAAAGCAGAATAGACAGCGAGCAAACCACAGAGTCATTAATCACGCTGAGATATACGACGATTTGAAGAAACTGGACTTAATGTTTGACTATATTGGTGGGATTGTAGTTAGGAGGAAACCGCCATACTAAAGACGTGGTTTCTCTGAACAAGTGTCCCTTTTGTCAAAACTCCTGGCTGGCCCTCCTACTCTGTCTACACACACACACACACACACACACACACACACACACACACACACACACACACACACACACACACACACACACACACACAGATGCACTCACTTGTTCATCCACTGCTTTGCATTCAAACAGAGAGTGAACTTCAGGTCCTTTGAGACGAGAGTTCTGTGTCTCTCTTTCGTGAAACTTTATACACTGGCACTCAACTTCATCCCTTTATGGCCTTATTAAGGGATTCCAATTATCAAAATCAATCTTCTTGCAATGATGATCTTTTTGTGTGGAAGACTGATGTATTTAGCAACAGTCTTGTAGCGATGGGTCATGCTCAAACGCGCTGAGATGAGCTTTTGCAGTAGAACAAATTCATAATTTATTAACAAATTAATGATTTATTAACATGTGAAACCTTCATATTTACCAAGTAAAGCTAAAATATGAGTAAACAGATGACTGTAAAGTCAGAGGCATGTGTCAAGAGCACTCGGCTCTCTGGACGGAGACGTACTTCCTGTCCCTACAGCTTTGCAAATTCTCCAGTGTTCTTGCCATCACCATTTGGCCCCTTTCAAACTATCGCAGATCTTCACGCTTGCCCATTTTTCTTGTTTCTAAAACAAGGAAAACTTTGAGGACATAATGTTCACTTGCTGTCAAATGCATCCCACACGCAAAGACAGCCCTGCTCTGTTTAAGGCCATTGAGCCACATCTGGCTTACATGGCCCCGCCTGGCTTGTAGTCAATGGAAAATCTGACACTTGAAATCCACAAACTAGGAATTTTGCAATTTGATGATGCTGCTTTTAATTTGAAGCTTTCATTTGTGTGTTTTGATGGCTACAATAGCAATTAGCTCAAGGGTTCTGCAATGTATCACAGTCGTAATAGTGCGTTATTCGCATTGTCAAGGACAATTTGTAATGCAAAGTTTGTTGGTTGATTTTTACAGTATCAATACACACTTTGCTTGAATAGAGTCACTATGCAGTAGAGACCCACAGATGAAGACCAAATAATCATTTCAGTCCTTATGCTGTTCATGTTTTACTCCTATTTACTCAAGTCAAAGGTTGCAATATTGCATGATAAATGAATTGCAATAATTTCCTTTTGCATGAAACCTAAATTTCCATTTCATGCAAAAATTCTGTCTTACTGAAAGTCTTTGTGGGGTAGCTGGTCTCAACATGTGCGTTTTTTCCAAGGACAATTTTGTTTCCAGAGTCTTCATCGTTCATTCATTTTGTTTTTTTCTGTTATTTATTTTGAATATTTAAAGTGTCTTCCAGTTCCAGAATTAAGTGTTCATTAGAATCTAAAGTTTATTGGTCTTTGATTATGTTCTTGCGTTATTATGCCACGACCACTGTTTTTTTAATATTGTTGTCTCAAGACAACAATATTATCGTTTATCGCAATAATTCTGGGACAATTTATCATCCAGCAAAATTTGTTATCGTGACAGGCCTGGTCGAAGGGAAAGACGTTTTGTTTGTGGCGATTAACTGCTGTTCTTGAGTATAACAGCTTGAACAAACATGTTCAGACGAAGTACCATATTTAGTGACATATAAAAAGCTGAACATGCTGTTTCTGTTCTGAACATTTTGTTTCTACTGACATGGACCTTTGGGGGGAAAAAAACCACTAATCGTCCTCCCCTGTAGTAACTTGGTAAGAAAAAGACAATCTGTGTCTGGGATCTTAATGTTGTGTCTAATCAGTGTCCATTTTGTGAAAAGGTTTCAATGAAATCCAATCAGGTCAGTGTGAAGTTCAAAATGGTGCCCTCGCCGGCCCCCCCAAAAAAACGGGTTACATATTTTTTTGACCCAATTTTTGGGGTGAAGCCACCAAACCTCTCCTAAAAATACATAAACCCAGCCTTCCTCAGAGGGCACTATCTTCATATTCATCTTTTCCAGCTGCAGTACCGTCGCAACTCATTTAATTTAAAGTCCAATTAAAATCCCTGAGGTAATCTGTCTCCAATGGGATTCAAAGTAGACCTCTTTGTGAGCAGGAGCAGCTGAACAGGGAGGAATGTGCAACAATGGCGTTCGGGGAGCACAGCTGAGTGCACATCACTCTCTCACACAGACTCTCCAACACACAATGCCGCTGACTGGAGGCACAATGCTCCCTTTTCTTACCCACAAACCAGACTGTTTGTCACGTGGGGTTGAAGGTGAAAGGTAGCGGTGGAAAACGGACAACCAGAAACCCCTCCCCCCAACATTTTAATGCATGTCCCCTATTCCCCACTCTACCTCCTGTGGAAGCCCCACCTCCCGCACCCCTCCAGTCCTTTCTGTCTCTCTGCAGACTTGGGTAGAATAATAAAACGCACAACTGTTGTGATGCAAGGTTTGAATGAAACGCACACATGCGACGTGTTAAAAATGCGTGTGTTTTTTTGTTTGTTTGTTTGTTTTATAGCGCGTCGGAGACGATCCTTCAGTTCCAGCAGGAAAACGACAGTCAACAGTGAGACACATAGATGCAGTTTAGTTTACAATTTTTTGGGGTGGGGGTGGGATTAAATCTGTTTCCTATTCCAAGAAAAAGATAAATAATTTACACAAAAAAAAAAGAAAAAAAAGACATTGCAATATACTACAGCTGCACGTCACGATTATATTTCTGAATTAATGCGGTCAACTTGTATGTAAAAACATTCACACGAGCGGATTTAATCGCATTTTAGGCACAAAAGGTTCCGGCAGTCGGTGCCTCTTTTTCCCGGTGGTTGGGCGTTTTTTTTTTTTGTTTTGTTTTGTTTTGTTTTTTTTTTTTTCTCCCCTCCCCCCAGCACCCTTTTCCCCCCTCCGTCTCTCGCCATCGACGTTTGTGAAATCGGCGTCCATAACGCTGTGAAAGATGCGCGCTCCCGATACTGTACCGCGACCTGTTGCACGCCAGGCGCGCGCTCCCCACATCATAACAAGTTATGATTCATAAAACGTTATGACTCCTCCGGAGAGGAGGAAAAAAAAAAAAAAGGAGCGAGAGAGAGAGAGAGAGACGCTGTCCCGGATGTGCATTTCCGCCGCTAGCCGCTCGCCTCGGTTCTCTTAAATATAACAGAAATATCACTTACCGTGTTGGAAGCGATGGGTTTTTTTGTTATTATTGTTTGTTTGTTTTGGGGTTTTTTTCCTCCCTTCTTCTTAAAGACCCCTCTGTTGGTTTTTTTTTTTTTTTTGTTTTTTTTTTTTTGTGGGGGGGCACCGACGTTGTGGAATGACAGGAGTGGTGGAGAGCAGGAAGGGAGGGAGGGAAGAAACGCTCCGGAGCTCCGGGGTTCTGATCGGCTCCGTCTTTCAGCCCGGACACTTGCGCAGCATTTCCCTGTTCAGTCCCGGGGATGCGCAGTCGGACAGCTGCATTTTTTTTTTCCTTTTTTTTTTTTTTTTTTTTTTTTTTTTTTTTTTTTTTTTTTTTTCTTCGCCTCCCTCCCTTCAATTATTTATGCCCGTCGTAAATTGCGTTTAACTCTCAAAAAGCAAAAAGGTCGTTTGCAGGATGAGGAATAACCGGGGAGCGAATGTATCAGGAGAGAACATTGAAGGGAGGAGGGCAGGGCCTCTATTTTGTCTGTTCTTGTCCGGCCTGCCTGTCTGCATTTGCTGCGGTACTCTGTCTGTCTGTCTCTCTCTGTCTGTCTGGTATAATTAACGACCCTGTCCTCCACGCAGAGCTTTCCAGCTCCACAGTCGAAGTAAATAGTCAACATATTTTAAGCAAGTTTGCTTCACACACCTCCACTGTCCTCTCCCGACTCTCATACACAGTTCACGTGTTGCATGTTTAATGTTCAGTCGACATCTTAAAGTCAAACTGGGTTCAAACACGAAAGCTTTCAATGTATTTTAATGGAGTTTCGATTGAATAGTGCAGTATTTTTTTTTCTTTTTCACCTGTGCCACTGTGATTTTAATGACATTAATGTCGTCAAAGGTCAACTAGCCGCACCGCATTTACAAAATGCAGCAGACTTGGTTACTAACTGTGCTCCAAATATTTCAGTTGCACAAACATACACCAGTCAATGTACGTAGATTTTGTTTGATTGGTTTAGTCGCCTCTGGAAAATCTCTTATGTGGACAAAATAAAATAAAAATCACATTTGCAGGGGGAAAGTAGCTTTTTTTGTTGTTGTTGTTGCTATATGCTGGTGCATCTCTTATTTTAAAAGTTTACTGAAATGTTGTAAAAACAATGTGTAAGAACAATGTGGAAAAATGCAAAAAAGAAAGATGGATGATGCTAAACGCAGAGCAGTCATGGAAACAATTCTGGTAAGGGTGGTTAAATATAAGGGCACACCACACTTTTCAGATCTTCACCAACAGACAAAGAAATGAGGCACGTTTTCTTCTCTCTCTTTTGAAAGAAACAGTGGACAGACATGGGCAGTTTTCATTCTTTACTTACTTTGTGAATAGCAACTCATGACGTGGAGAAGAGACCAGGTGCTGGAGCTCGTTATATCCACTAGGCTGCGCTGTGGGACAAGCATTACAGACCTGTTGCAAAGAGCTGGGTTACAGCTTCAGAAACTCAGACCCTCACATTTTAATTCATCGTAAATTCTACAATGTTTCTAATCTATAGAACTGAGTAGATCTTAGCTGGATTGTATAAATAAAAACTCAGAGTAGCATATGAAATGTTAAACTACCTCATTACTTATTTAAATGCACAAGCAGCGCGTGACAAATTACGTCTATCTTTGTCGATCCAACAGGAATTAAGAAAGTAAGCCAGTGCAATGAAGTGTGAGCACCTCTGCAACAATGAGAAGTTCTGTCTGTCCGGTCAGGAACGTCCAGGTGAAGAAGTGACAGCAGATCTGCAATCGCATCCCCCATAGCATTCATTGCTGTGGGATAGTCCAGAGAGATACCAAACGTCCATAAACAAGCAGAGAAGCCCAAAAATAAAAAACAGGACAGCTGGACTTCTGTTTGCAAAACTGCATCTGAACAAACCACAAGATAAGAAAGTGGAAACATATAAAAGCCAACATATGGAGAGAGCTTTCTCTCTCAGAGAGAAAGGGACAGGGTTGTGTGATTGGGAAGCTGTGCAATGTTTTCTCCTTGCTATATCTTGAAAACTTGGTTTGTTCTGGTAATCAAGAGCTATTTTTTTTCCCACCGCAAAGTTTCTCTGATTCAGCCTTCCTTGCTTTGTGGAGCCGTTTTCTTTTTTCTTTTTTTTACAAGTGTAACATGTAAAAAATTTTTATATCCTGCCTTTATCTTTTTGTGTCATTTTACGGCAATCCTCAATCTTTTGTCTAAGGGATGTAAATGACAAACAACGTTGCACACAGCAAGGAAATCAAAGAAAATATGCATGGTTTTCACTTTCTTTTCACATAAACAAAATATAAAGAGCATTTCTATTTAGCCTCTTTAAACTACCTTTTGATGCAATTAAAACTGTTTTCTTGCAGATTTCTTGATTTTCCATGATGTCTCAAAAGGAAACAGTGTATTTGATTTAAAGTATATCTCCCTTTCACTTAAATATGAAAAAGTCTTGGAATGATTCAAGTTTTTGTGCTAGTTGTTCAAAGGTACTTTGTAATGAAAAATCAAAAACATTTTGGCATTTTGAAAATAACATGAATATAGAAGAACTGAAAAAGTTGAATCAGATTTCATGTCATACTGAGAGAAACAAAGTTTTATAGAGTATGAACAATTGAACTGCATCCACCAGCTTTTGCATTCACACACTTTGCAAAACACATCAGACTGGAAAGAGACTGTCCCATTGGATTTAGGTCCGGCTGGACTTTGGTCTGGCTTTGCACGTCTGAAAGATTAAATTCTTGCTCCTTTTTCTTTGCAAAAATAATTCAAGCTCAGTCAGGTTGGACACAGATCAAGCTTTCCCACAGATTGTCATTTAGTTTTAGGGCTAAACTTCAACTGAGCCGTTCTAAAAGATGAACTTACTTCAATCTAAACCAGTCCGGTGCAGCTCTGGTTGCATGTTTTGGGTTGTTGCTCCAATAGAAGGTGAAACTCTTTCCAGTCTCAAGTCTGCAGTCTTAAAATAGCAGGACTGACTTTCATTTAACTACTTTATGTTACTCCATCACATTAAAATATATATGAAGGTTTGGAGCTGTGACTTTTAAAAACCTAAGTCTTAAAACGCTATGAATGCTTTTACCATGAATGCAAAAGCATTCATAGCTTAACCAGAATTATAACCAGAATTAATTGAAATCAGACAGAAAAACTCCTCCACAAAGAGCATATCTGTTTTCCTTTAATCTCACCTACTGACGACCCTTCACCTCCTCCCATCTCAGGGTCATGTGACCTCTCCGTCTGCCTTGAATCAGTTGGGATTAGTCAACATACCAGCTGCCTTCGGCTGATGGCAATAGTCCAGTAACACCAGCAAGTAAGGAACGTGTTTTATTATTTGCTTTTCTTATTGATATGTAAGAAGCTCAGATGGGGATACGGGAGTTAAAACAAAAGACGATCTATAGGGAACGAGTGGGAGAAATGAGGACGAGGTGTCGAGGATGATCTCCTGATCTTTCCGCTGCAGCAGCTTAATGAGTTAATGTTCATTTGAGGTTAGTGTTTTACTCATTTCAGGCTTGCTAAAAGTAAAAAAAAAAAAAAAACAATAAAAACAAACTGTTTTGGTTTTGTCCACCATCTGCTGTTACACGTTTGTTGTTCACTGACTTCTTTGGTTCATTGGTCTTATTGCAAAGCCGAGTCAAGGATGTCCGTTCACAAGTTAGAGCAGTTTTGTGTTTAAGTTTATTCACTTTAGATCATTTTATCTTTCTGCTATTGTGTCATCCTATTATTATGGTGATTTAGTTTATTCACTGGGCAGTGATCTAATCTTAGAACGGAGTAGGCAAAATCCCAGTAGACAGGATTACTGGTTTGAGTGAACAGTTGGCACTAATCAAAAGCTTCCCTCTTGTCCCTCTAATCTGTTACACGAAGCACGGACATGTAACCGGTGCAGCTATTCCTTTATTTGAGCCTCAAAGAGAAAAGCTGTTTTTAAATTTATTTTCTGCTTCACTGATTGTCTTCCAAGTCACTTGTCTGCTCTGGTCTGTTTCATGCCAGTCTTTTAGTTCGTAGCTGTCATTAGGCATAGTCACCTTCTGAGCTCCATGGCGTCTTTGGACGAAGAGTTCACCTGCTCTGTTTGCCGAGACAGCTTCAGCCAGGCCCACCCTCTGCCTTGTGGCCATAGCTTCTGTCCCGCCTGCATCCGTGAGGCCTGGAGCTCTCAGGGGGAAGGAAAAGGTCGCTTCACCTGCCCCCAGTGTCAGGAGGAGCACGGCGAAGTCCTGTGCGACTGCTGCCCTCTCCAGGCAGAGGACAGTCGGCCCCCGATGGCCGTAAAGACCTGCTTGAGGTGTGAGGTGTCGCTCTGTGCCGACCACCTTCGGCCCCATCTGGAGAGGCCTGCGTTCAGCTCCCACCTGCTGGTGGAGCCGTTGTGGGACCTCTCCCAGAGAAGGTGCCCGGCACACGCGGAGGTATTCCGCTACTACTGCGTGGACGAGAGGGTGTACGTCTGCGGGGACTGCCTGCTGGAGGGGGCGCACGCGCTGCACAAGGTGAAGCCGCTGAGACAGGTGGAGGAGGACCTGAAGGTGAGCTGGCTGACAGGGCTGTACAGAACTATTAAAGAGGCAGTGTTATGTGTCCTTTCTCTTTCTTTCAAGGTGGTTCCCGGCTCTAGTGGCCTTTATTTGAGAGTGGTCAGTGAGGGAAGTAGGTTAGGACAGAGGAGGAAGACGTGCAGCAAAGGTCAACAGGAACCTGAAGGTCACATCTCACGGTTTACCCCTGTCTGGGTTGGGGTTAAAAAAAATTGTTTATGCAACACTATCCCTATGTGAGGGTGATAGGATCTTTTTATTGCAGAATCCAATAATTACGTCACCTTCAGTTATAAAAATGTTGTATATATCAAACATAATACAGGGGTCACAAACTGCATCCCTCAAGGGCCGATGTTCAGCAATGATTAGATGTCTCTCCTCTTCAGTCCGGCTCCAATATTAGCTCTTTACACCTTAACTTCACACTAGTGAGGGAGGTTCACCATTTAACTCAAGTGTGTAGACAAAGCACAGAGCTGCACAAGTCTCTCCCTCCAGGAGTACACCTGGAGACTGCCGGCTTAAAAGAAATTTGACGCAACTTAACGCCTTGAAATTGGGCCTCTGTCTCTTTAAGAAGTTCCTGCTGTTTCCTTCAGCATGTCATCACTTCAGCTCCATTAAGCTGACTTACAAACATTAGTCAGCAACCTGAACTGAGAAATAGTGCATACAATGATCTCAGTGGATGAGCAGTTCCTCCAGGTGTCTGCTGATTGCTGCTAGCTAGTCTGAAGGAGCTGAGTGGTGGAGCGACTCTGTAATGCAGAAGCTCAGATTGGAAGCTGCAGCAACGCATGGAAGAAAGGAACAGAATATTTTACTGTAACGTAGGGGAAAAGGGCGGCGCTTGGTTCCAGGATTGCTCAAACATACATGACAGAATCAATAAGACACTCCAGGTATGTTTTTGATTAGAGAATAACATCATAACGTGATGTAAACATCAAAAAAGTTGATGTTTACACAACACCCTAAACTTTTTCATGCTAGAACCTCAACCTTCAACGTGTGCAGTATCACTGGGATTTTATGTGACCAACCAATACATTGTACACAGGGAGAAGGGAGTTATTGCATTATAGGGGTAACTTTCTTTTAGCAAGGATATTAAGATAACCTTTGTGAGTATTCTAAACACTGTTAAATCAAAGTACATTCAAAAACTGGGGCTGCCCATTCGGTTGCAAAGAAGAATATGCAAAGCTGGTGTTGCGTCACAGCTGTAGATTTGAAGGTGCAACTGCAGCAAAAAGTGGTTTAAAAAAGTTTGGACTCAAAGAATCTGAATGCAAATGATTTGTTTATCATATAATATCCCAGTAAAACTCCAATGAGAAAAAAAATGTAGAAAAGGTTCAAGGGTTATTTATGTTTTTGCTGGATTTTGGCAGGTCAGGGTAAGGCTGCTCTAATGGTATCTTGATTTTACAGGTCATCTTGCAGACTCTCCTCACCAAAGCAGAAAAGAAGCTAAAAGATGGTGGGAAGGTTCTCAAAGACCATGAAAACATCGACTCTGCGATGGCGGTAAATAAAGACTTTAGTCTTATCGGTTAAAGTTATTCCAAACCGTACAAGGCTGATCCATTTGAGAATCAGCCTTAATCAGACGCTGATCACCTGATCACCGCAAAAAGTGATCAGCGTCTGTAATCACCCAATTTATTCAAACTTATTGTGTGCAAAATCATGTGAATGAAATAGGACACCCCATATTTCATTAGCCATCGACAAACATTGATGACTAATCTCTGAGAAAGAATGCTAAATTACAAAATAAAAAGCACGATGTGCTTGTCTGAGAAAAAAAGTCAAACAAAAAATATGTCTTCTAGCAAAGCAAAAAGTTAGTGCACCCTTGCCTCGAATAATCTCACATCTTTTGACTGTAACAGCTTCCTTGAGAAGTGTGTCTGGTAGCCGTGTGCCAGTCTCTGACGTCGGGTGCGGGGAAACTTTTTTCCTCTCTTTACTTTCAGCTGTGAGATGTTTGAGGAGTTTCTTACATCTACAGCCTGTTTCATGTCACACCACAACATCCCAGAAGGATGAAGATCTCAGCTTTGACTCAGCCCAGCACTCGCCATTTCTTAATTCTCAGTTCTTGGTGGATTTGCTGGGATGCTTTGGCTCGCTGTCATCTTGCAGAATCCAGTTCTGGTTCAGCCGTGGTTTATATTCTTACAGGCACTCTCAGATTTTCCTGCTATCCTGCAACATTGATGGTGGATACTGTGATTGCGAGCTAGTAAACTGGTGTTGCATAAAGGCATTCCCAAACCATGATACCTCCACCTCTGTGCTTTATCGTTGGCATGAGGTTTCTTCTCCTGGGAATGCTGTTCACGACAATATTTATTGCATATATTCAACAAATTGACATTTTGACCTTTAATCTGTATTTAATATCTTAAAAGCAAAAGCAGCACAAGCGAAACTTTTATCAACGCAAACATAGCAGAGTTAATCTTCACAGATTGTGTTTGAGTTCGTAGAAGTGAGGGGACTGCTTGACCTTTCATGACCTTTGGAAACGTTTGTTAAAATCTTTAAAGCGACAGCGGCACAAATTAAACTTTTGGTTGCACAAAACAGCAGGAAAACTTACAAATGCATGACGCTAGTCTCACCTGAATCGATAGATGCTGCCATGTTTCGACAGTTCAGTTTGGAATAATTGTAGGGGTGTCCTAATTTATTCCGCATCATAAATTATTATTGTTTTTTTTTTTGGTTACATCTTAGAAATACACAAATAAACTCTCTTTCCTTCAGTTTAAGTAAATCTGTTTTACGTCTAGAATTTCACAGAATCATTATTTCCACATTTCCACGTGTCAAAATGTGCCAACCATCACCCGACTGACCTCCTCCAGGGCTCCCTGAAGCGGGACGACAGCCAGATGGAGCGGCTGGACACGGACCTGCAAACCCAGGTGAAGAAGCTGGTGGTGGCTCTGAAGGAGATCACCAAGAGGGAAAGGCAGCAGATCGTAGAGCGTGTGCACCAAGACTGCGCCAAAGTGAGAGACGACATGAGCCAGACGGTCCACATTCAGCGCTACCTGAACCTGCTGCTGGCAGAGACGGACCCTTTCCTGCTCATCTGGGTAAGGCTCTTCCAGCTACTCAGTGCAGCAGTGGGAATCAGCTTAAAAGCATGGCATAAGATCTTCACATTCAAAAACACAAGTAAAACCACTTGAAAGCATTAAACGGGAGAGATGGGTGATACTGCATGTTTTGGTATTGAGCCAATTAAATAAAAGAGCCAGTATCGGTGATACCGGTACTTCTTCTTTAAGTTTGACATATCATCAAACTTTTGCCTTGAATGTGTTTTTTGTGGTTTTTCTTTTGAGTTGTTTACCCGGGATAGCATTCAGACAAAGTTTATAGGTATATACAAAATACTTCCTTGGTGGAACCTGTAGTAGGGGGATTGGCCGCATCAGAATCAGAATCAGGAGTCAGATTACTGGCCGTCTGCCAAAAATACAATATTGTGACAACCACACCGGCCCGGCAGATCGGCAAACAATTTATTAGTCATGTAGCTACTATACCTGGCTTCCTGCCACTTCCCCAGCTGAGGCCAGAGTGAACAGCTGAAGCGAACAATCCTCGCTCGTCAAAATGATAAATATTTGGCTGCATGGCATTTGCATCTGCACTCTGTTCGGAAGAGGAGGTGCGCACACCTCCGAATTGTGCATGTTTGCTGGATGCTCAGAGATAGAGGGAAATTGTGAATTTTTCAGGCTGAAGTTGAAATGCAACACATGCTTCGATGCTGTCTCTGGAGAAAAGCCCCGGCATCGTAATTAGTGGTGATGAGAGAGGGGGATAAAAAGAAGAAGAAGAAGACACGAGTAGTGACTTACAGGGTTTATGATGGGTTTAAAAAGAGACAGTCATAAAAAAAAATAAACCCCACTCCAAGCTTCAGGGCTTCTGTTTGATCAACTCACAGCAATCAGTGAAAAATACACTCATTTTGGATCATTTGTGCATGCTTCCTTCTGACTGCGCCGGCCAAGACAGCGGCAGATTTAAATGATCGGAGGCAAAGGAAAGAGAACAGAGTAGCTTTTACCTGCATCTGCTCAGCTGGTGAAATATTGACAGTGAATGCTCCTCCACAAGGCTGAGCCTATCCACATCCAGTGGATAGAAATCATTTACCCAGCCCTGGTAACACCTAAAGTATCTCTGATATAAAATGTAACTTTTTCCACAAATCTCTAGGAGGGCAATTTAAAAAACTAAAAGAAATGGCGATAACCTGACCGCACACGTTCACACACTCTTTGACTTTCTGAAACCATATTTAAGGTTCAGTTTTCTAAACTTGACCTTTTCTTAAAATTAGATAAATACAGCTAAAAAACAATGAATGTCCTGAAGTGGAATTTATGTTTTTGCTTTACCTTTTAAAGTGATAAAAAAATGAACCCAAAATATACAGAAGTGGTGTTGGAAAAACATGTCCACTCTTCCTTCTTTCATGCCCCTTAGTGGGTTAAGTACAAATGCAGTTGATTATCTGCATTTGTTGTAATTGCAGATAATCTTTAATCGTAATTTGCAGTAAAACAGAAGAATTGACATGCTGCAGTGCTCCTGTGAAGCTCAGAGCTGCAGTCCAATTGAAATGCTCCTCCAATACACCAAGAGACACAAACTAATGAATTAAGAAAAGCTGCAAAGCCGACTGGAAAAATGATTATTTTATCATAATGTCAGTCACTGCTAAGGCCTTATAGAGTGGAAGTTGATTCTCCATCCTACTGAATCTGAGAGCTTTCGCAATTTCTCTCACATCCTTGCTGAAAATACTATCTTCATGACTGTTTGATTTAATAAAAAGAAAGAGAAAAGAGAGAGACATACTTAATGTGAATGAACAAAAAAAGTGACCTTGAAGAGTTTTTTTTATTTTATTTTTTCAGAGCAGATTCACAGGAATCCTTGTAATTCATTCTGGGAATGTAATGCATCATGTTTCTTTCTGCTGTCCTTTTCTTTTGCAGGCGTTTCAGTCAGACGACACAAAGTAAGTCCAAACGAAGGATGTTTTTTGTTATTTTTCTATTAAGCATGCGAGGGATAATTATTACGTTTCACATTTTTGTAGCAAGCTGATCTAGATTTTACGAGTGGATTTTCTTATTCTGCACCATGTGGTGTGTTGCAGGTTGCTGGCAGACCTGAACTGCCCACTTTTCCTCCCTGAGCCTGTCTGTGTGGACAGGAAGCACATCCTGGAAGACGTAGAGGGCAAATATCGAGAGTTCATCACGTCCACCCTGCGCTGCCTCAGTGAGCTCAAGAGGGAACTCTGTGAGTGGCTCGTTAGCGTCACCCATGGGCTTCAAAGACCAGTAACATTACTTACAGTTAGGGCCAGAAATATTTGGACAGTAACACAATTTTTGTGAGTTGGGCTCTGCATGCCACCGCATTGGATTTGAAATGAAACCACTACAACAGAATTCAAGTGCAGATTGTAACGTTTAATTTAAAGGGTTGAACAAAAATATGTGATAGAAAATGTAGGAATTGTACACATTTGTTTACAAACACTCCACATTTTAGGAGCTCAAAAGTAATTGGACATATAAACATAACCCAAACAAAAAAGTTTTTTGTCAGTATTTTGTTGCGGATCCTTTGGAGGCAATCACTGCCTTAAGTCTGGAACCCATGGACATCACCAAACGCTGGGTTTCCTCCTTCTTAATGCTTTGCCAGGCCTTTACAGCCGCAGCCTTCAGGTCTTGCTTGTTAGTGGGTCTTTCCGTCTGAAGTCTGGATTTGAGCAAGTGAAATGCATGCTCAATTGGGTTAAGATCTGGTGATTGACTTGGCCATTGCAGAATATTCCACCTTTTTGCTCTCATGAACTCCTGGGTAGCTTTGGCTGTATGCTTGGGGTCATTATCCATCTGTACTGTGAAGCGCCGTCCGATCAACTTTGCAGCATTTGGCTGAATCTGGGCTGACAGTATATCCCGGTACACTTCAGAATTCATCCGGCTACTCTTGTCTGCTGTTATGTCATCAATAAACACAAGTGACCCAGTGCCATTGAAAGCCATGCATGCCTATGCCATCACGTTGCCTCCACCATGTTTTACAGAGGATGTGGTGTGCCTTGGATCATGTGCCGTTCCCTTTCTTCTCCAAACTTTTTTCTTCCCATCATTCTGGTACAGGTTGATCTTTGTCTCATCTGTCCATAGAATACTTTTCCAGAACTGGGCTGGCTTCTTGAGGTGTTTTTGGGCAAATTTAACTCTGGCCTGTCTATTTTTGGAATTGATGAATGGTTTGCATCTACATGTGAACCCTTTGTATTTGCTTTCATGGAGTCTTCTCTTTACTGTTGACTTAGAGACAGATACACGTACTTATCTGAGAGTGTTCTGGACCTCAGTAAATATTGTGAACGGGTTCTTCTTCAACAAAGAAATTATGCGGCGATAATCCACCACCGTTGTCTTTCGTGGACGGCCAGGCCTTTTTGAGTTCCCAAGCTCACCAGTCAATTCCTTTTTCCTCAGAATGTACCAGACTGTTGATTTTGCTACTCCAAGCATGTCTGCTATCTCTCTGATGGATTTTTCTTTTTTTTCAGCCTCAGGATGTTCTGCTTCACCTCAATTGAGAGCTCCTTTGACCGCATGTTATCTGGTCACAGCAACAGCTTCCAAATGCAAAACCACACACCTGGAAACAACCCCAGACCTTTTAACTACTTACTTGATTACAGGTTAACGAGGGAAAGGCCTTTTGAGTTACTTGCAGCCTTTAGAGTCCATTGTCCAATTACTTTTGGTCCCTTGAAAAAGAGGAGGCTCTGCATTACAGAGCTATGATTCCTAAACCCTTTCTCCGATTTGGATGTGGAAACTCTCATATTGCAGCTGGGAGTGTGCACTTTCAGCCCATATTATATATAAATTGTATTTCTGAACATATTTTTGTCAACAGCTAAAATAACAAAACCTGTGTCACTGTCCAAATATTTCTGGCCCTAACTGTATCTATGTGGAAGTAGTTTCACTTCAGGGAAACGTTTGCAATTTTCTGTCACATATTTACAAAGTTTTACAAACTTATTCTCAGACATGAGTTTTTTGGAAAAATTCTGTCATAAAAAATTATTCACATCCCTTGATCTATTTATTTATTTAATTTTATTTATTTATTTTACATGTGGTTATATTATAAGCACTACACCAATGTATTTATTTGTATTTTATGCAAGAGACCATTTCAAAGTAGTGCATGTTGGTAAATATTTCTGGTTCTCAAACTTTCTTTATTTTACAAACATAGAATCTGAAAAGTGTGGCATGCTCATCCTCTGAACATATAAATATTGTATAGAATCACCAATCACTGCAAGTAAAGACACAAGTGTTTAGGAGGTTTGTTTCTTTGACATTTGACTTACTGGATTTAAAGACACTAAGTCCAGTACAAGCACATGTTAGAAACCTGAGCCATATTCATCCAGTGTGATGTTGTATCCCGACTCTGACACTATCCACAAAAATATAACAAATATAAAAGATAGTTCATCCAATTTCAGAGAGAAAGACACAGCATAGTTTTTTGAACTCCAGGTAAATTCAGCAGCTGTGCATTTTAAAATCATACTCTTGACTTGTATAAGAAATACAACCTTGCTTTTCCCAGATCTAAATGAAGTTGCATGAAATTGTAACTTAATGGAGGAAGGACTTCACAGAATATATACATTTAAATTAAGATTACATTACGCCCAGATAGACCTTATGTGCAAATAAAGTGATTTCTGTGGTCGACTGATTGCCTTAGATATTTTGTTTTGGATTAAAAACCTTGGAGGTTTTCCAGGACAACCCATTAGTGTTTAAATTAAACTGCCAGGAAACGATTCACTGTTCAACACAAGTCCGGACTTCTTGTGCAGTGAAAAGCAAACACCTTAAGCCTTGGACTCTCTCCCTGCAGTGACCAGCCCTCTGTCCCTGGACACAAACTCCGCCCATCCTCTGCTGAGCATCTCTGACGACCTGCGTTCTGTCACGCGTGTAAAGAGCCGGCTGCCCTGCGCCGCTCACCCCGAGCGGTTTGACCACTGGCCACAGGTCCTCACCGTCCAGACCTTCTCCTCTGGGACTCACTACTGGGAGCTGGAGGCTGAGGGATTCTGGGATGTCGCCGTCTGCTACCGGAGCATCGGACGGAAGGGGAAGGAAGGGAATGCTTTTGGAAACAACAAGGTAAAACTGTTGCCACGATTTGACGGTATAAAATGAGACAGATAAAACTGAGCACTTTTGTCCTCTTTCTGTCGACCTGCTGTCACCTGAACATGTGCACTGCTCAATCAGATACAAACAATCAGAGCCAGGAGGCGGGTCTCAGCGCTGTCAATCACCTTCATGTCTCTGCTGAGCCACAGCTGGTTACCCACAACATAGTCCACCATGAATGCTGTAGCTAATTAGCATGGCCACTGATGACAGTGGATAAACTGTTGTTGTTACAGGAAAGCAGCGCGTACACTAAGTGATTGACGGCGCCTAGATGCTCCTTCTGGAAAAGTTCATGGAAGTCTATTGTAAGGGTCTGTAATCATAAAATTACACAACTTGTCACCTTGGTAAAAATAAAAAAAATTAAAAATCTGAAGGGTCACCAGATGTAGGTCACCAGAGCCAGCAGTCAAGGCTTACTTGATACAACAGGACTTTGAAATATCTAGTTTTGCTTTGCCTCACTCCTTTTAGGCGTTACTTCCTCCTACGGATGTAGATTTTGCTGATTTACCATCTTCTACTTCTCTTAATCTGTTCTGAAAGGGCCAAAGATCAACTTTAATCTCCTGTTTCTTTTAAATAAAGTCAGGAACTCGTTTAGAAGGCAAATTTGCTTTTCACACGTCTTGAAATGTGTCCGAGTTTCTGTCCAGTAATAGAAACCACAAAGTCCTGAACGTTTATTTGGTTGCGTTGATGATTCGTCGTTGAGCCGTTTGTCTGAGATCAGTGGCGCTGCTCATCATAAACATGTTGTTTCCGTTTGGACATTTATGTCATTTTTATTACTAATTTGTCCTTGTTTTGACAAACATTGTTATCATATTCCCAGGTGTCATGGAGCCTGACGCAGCAGCACGACAGAAAGCTGTCTGCCTGGCACAACCGCAGGAAGACACGCCTCACGTACCAAATGGTCGGCAATCGAGTCGCAGTTGCCGTGGACTACAGCTCCGGGACCGTCACCTTCTCCGAAGTGGGTCCATCCAACACTCTGATCCACCTCCACACTTTCTCCACCAGCTTCACGCAGCCTGTGTGTTTGGGCTTCGGACTCTATAAAGCTGAGCTCAAGAGCCGCATCTCTGTCGTCAAAGTGTGAGCGGGAGATCGACGCGCCTGGGACTTTTGCCGTGAGCCACGCTCTCTTCCGGACTGGCTGTGATGGCGTTCTGCTCCTAACAGTGCGTTGATGGTGGTCGCCTGCCTCAGAAATGCTTCCTAACAATCTGAAATGTGAAACCTGAGGCTCATTAAAATAAAGAGAGAGGTCTGTTTTTAAGCAAATTTGAAGTATTCTTATCCATTTTTTATTATTTACCTCTTGTTAGTACGATACCCTCTCATTTTATTAAAAATTTATGTAAAATGAAACCTTGGATTTGAGAACAGCTATTCAAAGAGAGAAAGATTCATTGTAGATTTTTTTTTTTGACAAAATCACACAATTGTTGAGTGAGCACATCCTATAAAATATACCTTTCAACAAAATTCAAGCACGGAGCTGTGAAGCCATTTCTCCTCCCAAAGCCCTGAAAAACCTTGTGAGAGCGCATGGCGACATAAAGTCTTTCGGTGTAAATCAAATTAAGAAAATAAATTATTTTTGACTTTGAACGCAACACATTTTCCCACATCCTTAGCAGGGGTGCAAATCCTTGTGAAGGCTGCTGCATGTGTGAATTTCCACCGAAAGGATTAAAGATGTCTCACTTCCAAGTCTTAAAAAAGAAAAAATATTTTCCCTTATTTATTTGACAAATTCACATCTGGTAAGCAGCCTTATGAATGTACAACTTTGAAACCGCACACTGTTTGGCACCATAGCTACCAGCCAAGCAAATAATTATTACTTTACCGGAAAGATTCATTATGCTTTCATCCTTTTTAGTCAACCTTCAACTCGAGTCATGTCTCTGCTCTTCCTGGAAACTAGAAGAAGAAGAAGAAAGAAACTGACACACTCTCTGTAACTTTGCTCTTTGAAGCTGAGCAGACTCCCAATCACCTCCCTTTACTCCTCTGTTAGGGTGAGTGGGTGGATGCGAGGTAAGAGGGTGAGGAAGATGAACAGAGGGGGTGGCTGAGAAGAGAAGGTAGGACAAACACAGAGAGAGAGAGAGAGAGAGAGAAAGAGAAAGAGAGAGAGATAAGAGAGATCAGAGGATACTCCAGATCGGCGATCAGCTCGACTTGCAGCGCTGTGAGAGAATGTGACGGGAAGAGCTGGAAAACAAGGATTTTTCCCGCTTCGCCTGACTTCGGCATCTCGCAGGGTTTGCTGACATGGGACACAAGCTTCCTCAGCTGAAAACAGGTGATCGTCTAGTTTTTATTTACCATCTATTCTTTCAAGCAAATAGTCACTCTATTTCATGGTGAATATTCCTAAACAATATTCATTCAAACTGAGGTTCAGTACAGGGTTAGTCTCCCCAAAACAATGTTTCATTTCAGCCAGTCAGAAGAACAGAGGAGGATACTGCGCTGACCAAGTCCTGTTAGTGTGTGCAGCCACAGCATATGTTGAGACTGTGTTTTCGTGAAGGTGTGTGTGCTGAGGATGCGTGAGGGAGGGAGGGGGTCTCTGTGTAAAAGACAGATGGCGACTCAGTGGAGTTGTTCCCTTTCTCAGTCTCTCCTTCTGGGTCTCCCTGTCATCCCTCCAGAATCCTGCCTCATCACTTTTTTCTTTGTCGCCCATCCTCTTTTCTTGCTTGTCTCATTTTTTCAGATCAATGTTTTTATTTTTTTGCTGAGGGAATACGAAATATCTTCTTGACTCTGTTCACTCGCTTGTCTCTTAACTCTTCAGAGTGCTCAAAAGTTACTTGTTTCCCCAGATTCAGCCATGTCAATCTGGTCTGTCCACTTTGACCTCCTGATATCACCGAGCCTGCTGCTGCTGCTGCAGCTGCTCTTGTTGCTCTCGGTGCCCCTGGAAAGCGGCGCCCAGAACGACACGGAGCCCATCATCCTGGAGGGGAAGTGCCTGGTGGTGTGTGACTCCACGCCTTCGTCGGAGCCAGCTGGGAGCGCTCTGGGCATGTCGGTCCGCTCCGGCTCGGGACGGGTGGCCTTCTCGGCCAGCAGGCAGACCAACCACGAGCCGACGGACATGAGCAACCGCACCATGATCATCTACTTTGATAACGTGAGTAGCTCTGAAATATACTTTAAGAAGGCAGCTGTTGCAGGCCTTTATTTGTTTATCGAAATGCAATCAGTCTACCAGTGGAAGGAGTAAATTGTTTTTCCTAATCAGAGAGTCAAGGTGCTGCAGACTTTAGAGTGACTAAATAAGGTTCCAGTGACGAAATTGAAATATTGAGAATGCAGCTGGAAAACTGAGCTATCACTTACAGGCTTGTTAATTAATCACACAGCAATATTGTAACGATGAATTAAGTAAACAGCCACTATCATCGCAGAAAACAACCTAATCAGAAAACCAAACAGCGCAGTGGTTAGAGCACAGGCCCTGTACATGGTTGCTATAAAGACTCTTATTTGTTAGATTACTGTCATATAAAGGCCGAACAAACTCCCTATTTAGGTCTGACTTGTTTTGTTTCTCATCTCAACGAACTGAACAGGGTCTCCTGTGGTACATCGCTCCCTCTGTGGGTCGTTCTGCAGTAGGGCCGAGCCAGGGAGGGAAAAGCTCATTGGAACTCGAAACTTCACAGATTAATCTGTGGTTCTGCCTTCCTGGTTCCTTGCTGACCCATTTGTTGAGCAAACAGAAGTTGCCCCAATGAATTCAATGCCAGAATAGCATCTAAGTTAAGTTTCCAGGGAGAGATCATCTCCAAACGAAAATATAGCAAGACATGTTTCTGTCTGGAAAAAGTTTGTGCTCGAGGTCAACTAGGCACGAAGCGAGTAAGATCATTACTTTAAAGAGCATTACCCAACACTGACAGGTGAAGGCCTCCAGCAAAAATCTTGGTCTGAGTGTGAAAACTGTGCAAAAAGTTGGATTTCTGAAGTTTTGCACCTCTATGCAAAACAATAATAAACACAGAAAATTCCAGTGCTTGAAAGACGTGAAAGAAGATGAGTGCTTTTGTTGTCCCAAGTCTGCTAATATGAATGCACATCTGATTACATCCAGGCACTGAGGCTAAATGATAATAAGCTGAAGATTGAACATTTGGACTTGGTGTGCTGCCCACAAAATTGTGAGATTATGCAGCAACATTCAAGGCTTTTTTTACAGTGCAAATGTAGAAGAGAGAATCAATAGCTTTGAGACCGAGGTCCAACTGAATGTGTAATAAATAGAGTTACTGGAGTGACCTTGGAGTAGGCATGAATGTACCTTCCAGAAAGCTTTTAACAACAGACGTCACCCTTCTTCAAAGTGTCTTTCTTTTCTCTGCCGTGCCTCGGACTCTCTTGACAATTTCCTTGCTGACATCGCCCACTTCTTCTGCATTTTCCCCCTCGAAATCTCCGCAGATTTTAGTCAACGTGGGCACTCACTTTGACCAAGAGAGCAGCGTCTTCGTCGCTCCACGGAGAGGAGTTTACAGCTTCAACTTCCATGTCGTGAAGGCCTACAACAGACAGACTATTCAGGTATGCTATTACCTTAATTCGAGCAGTTGCAGTTGAGGTTGTAGCCGCTTCGTGCGTTCTCCCTGATCGGCGTGTTTGATGTCTCTCAGGTCAGCCTGATGGTGAATGGCTGGCCGATGATTTCAGCGTTTGCGGGAGACCAAGACGTGACCAGAGAAGCAGCGACCAACGCAGGCCTGGTGATTCTGGAGAAGGGCGACAAGGCCTACCTCAGACTGGAGAGAGGGAACCTGATGGGAGGCTGGAAGTACTCCACCTTCTCCGGCTTCCTCGTCTTCCCCTTGTGAGACGGGTGGAATATGGAAGTGCTGGGTAATAGGACAGGTGTGAGTGACGGGTGTTACGGCACTTTGCAAAAATAGTTACACCTCTTGAACTTTTTGACATCAAAAGTCCGTTGTTCTTTAGAAAACATCTCAGGCTCGGTTAGGTTGGGTGGAGAGCATCTGCGAACATCATTTTCCAAGACATGCCCATTTTGACTGGGTCGTTCTAACACATGATGGAGGATTTTTTTTTATCTTACCAGGGTCCCTTCTTCCACATGCTTGTTATTTCTGGACAACTGCAAAAAGTACTTCTTTTGATTCCCTTTCTATTCCATAAAATTCAGCTTGGTGGAGTTCTTGGTTGTCCAGTCAATAAATTATTTAAACTGAACTGTGTATCTCTGCAGCTTCTTCTGGGTTCCTGCTTGCTCACCTCTCTGACTGATCCTCTGCTTCACTTTAGGTCAAATGCCTTATCTTTGTAGGCTTAGAGTTGTGCCACAGTGTTTCCATTTCCAAATAATTGGTAGAACATCGCTCTGTGAGATGCTGAAAACTTGGGATACACTTTTATCAAAACTTCTCTGCACCTTTCTCCCTGACCTGTCTACAGTGTTCCTTGGTCTTCATGATGCACGTTCCCCAACAAACCGCTGAGGCTTTCTCAGAACAACATGGATTTATAAAAATACTAAATCACTTGATCTGTCTAACTTCTACAAGCAGCTAGCTGCATTGGATTTTACTGAAAGCAAATCAAATTAAAGAGGATTTATTCCCTTTTCCATGTCACACCGATGGGTCTCAAAAATAAAATCCCACAAATGTAGACAGACGTTTCTTTTTGTAACCTTATAAAATGTGTAAAAGTTTGAGGTGTATGCTTTTACAAGGTGCCGAACATCCAGTTTTAGGACTGAACAAATAAAGAGAAGTATCTACAAAAACCGTTGCTGAAAATCTACAATCACTCTATGAAATTATTTATTTTGTCTTTATGTGAAATATTTATTGTTTATTCAATATAATGATTGTGAAAAAGTATCTATTTGTGCTCCTGTGCTGACATAATGCCAAGCCTTAATTTGTGTTTATGTTAACACAAATTATCCCATCCAGCTTTAAAAAAAAAGTATTTGAATTGACTTTATTGTATGACTGCTTCTCCTCTGTCTATCTGTCAGCATCATACAAAAGATGTCTATTCACCAACAAATTTCTATAAAGAACAAAGCGTTAAAAAAACTGAAATCATCTCAATTGGACTGTTTGCATGCAGAAAATGATTTTATGAATCACTGCAACTGCGACTGTTTAATCTGCAAAAGCAAGGCAGATTTCCTCACGCCCTTTCATGCTGCTGCGTTCGGCGGCAGCGGTTTGTAAATATAGCTCCCACCAGCCGAGCTGGCGTTGGCGTGGACCAGGCACACCAGCGTGGGACGCGGTATAAGTGCCGAGTGTGGCGGATGCTCCTTGCAGAGACACGGACAGATGGAGGCTTTGGCGAGCCTGACGGCTCATCCCTGCAGGACATCCATGGATAAAGTGTGGCGCATTGTCACATAAAGTCATTTACGCTTCCCTGGTTCAGAACCACCGCTCTCGGTTTGTCTGTTTGTTGTTCCTTACACACGTACTTACTAAAACAGTCATAAATACAGGACCAGGTTTAAGGGTATTTGGTCACATGGGCTAGAGCCAAGGTTGGGACCCTACCCACAGAAATTTGTTTTACACGTAGGCCACAAATTTCAATAGATTGATGGCTAAAGGTACAGCAATATGTAAAAATTATTTTTGGAGGGTTTATATTATGTTATCATGTTATTCTGCTTATCAAAAACATACCTGGAGTGCTGCTTTGATTCTTTTATGCATGTTTGAGAAATCCTTTAACTTCCCGTGGAAACCATTTGGGGTTGCCTAATCCCTTGCTGCTACAAAGCTCCGCCTATTTGGACAAAGCACCTCCTTGAAGCTCCAGTCTCCAGCCACTCAGCTCCTCCAGACTAGTGGCAGCAGCAATTAGCAATCACCTGATGGAACTGCACATCTGCAGAGCTACATGTGTGAACTATTTCTCAGTCCAGTTCTCCTAAAAACATTTGTAAACAGCTTAACAGAGAAATGTTGCGATGACGTACTGAAGACAGAGTGTTAAAAGAACAGCAGCTTCTTAAAGAGACAGGTGCCCGATTTCAAGGCATCAAATTCTGAAATTAAGTTTCTTTTAAGCCATGCTTGATATATGTACAGCATTTTTATAACAACCAGAGGTACCATACTTACTTGATTATGCCATAAAATAGCCATATGTACCTGGAAAATACATAATACTGCCCCTTTAGATACATCAGCTACAAGGATTTTAAGTATTGCTCCCATGAAACATTGTTGTTCTAGAATTATCTTTACAAAAATCTACTTATGGCATAATTTTACAGATACATCTTCGTCTGTACAAGAGAAAAGATATGCACGTCCAAAAATCCACCAAACAGGCTGCTGGCTGCTAAAATTCATTGCTGAAGAGCATAAAAGTAGGTATGTGCTCTAAACTGAGCTCCCACTGCAATTTTCTAAAAAAAAAAAATGTCATCACACTTCAGGCACACTGCTCTAGCTAATAGGGGAAAAACAGCAGGGACATTTAACAGAGAATACCAGAAGGAGTTGGTGTTCATTAATACAAAAACACTCAAACTGATCCAAAGAATTATGATAACTATATGTGACAATGTGAATGCACCAGAAAAATCGGATTTAATCCAAACATAATCATTTTCAAAACCTTTCATACTGATTGTCTTTTATTAAAACTTTTCATACGCTTACAAGCTTTACTGCTTCAGTTTTTATGGCGACAGTGTGAGTGAGTCAGGACTCATTGGATAAAATGCAAATAATGAAAGTTACACGTACAGTTTGATGCTGGTTCAGTGTCAAGAATGGCAACAAAGAATCCAGATTTCTCTCTCTCTCTCTCAAAAAACAAAAATGCATCAGCAACAGATTTCCATTCCACAAAGAGCACCAGGAATTAAGGGGGTAATGTTATTTTTTTCCAGGGAAATTTGGATCAAGCCTGTCCTGAGATGAAAAAGTGCATGATGTTATGAGCCCTGTGTCATATGAGCAGAGAATCATGATCCAAATTGAATAAACTTAACATAATCTCATTAAATTAACAAGAAACTCATAAAAAAAGACCTACACAGTAAATTGCATTGAAAGGGGAATGAACTAATAACTATCTTCTCAGATTAATCTAGCAGAATGACTGTGTTTCAGTGTCAGGACACAAGAGGGCGCCAAAATCCCGTCTTGGATAGAGGAATTGCTGCCGGACGCGCGAACATCATTTTGATACAATATGGAAAGCTTGTATATATATATATAATATAATAATAATACCCAGAACACGACGCAATGGGTGATTATGTGGTATACGTTTACGGATCTACAAAAGGTCAACAGCAGCCCCTCAGGAAATCTGCATTCAAATGATGGGGCTGATAACCTGAGCTTTGGCAAATGCAATAAAATGCTAAAAAAAATATTATAATAATTATACCGTCAAATACAAACACGTCTGAAAGGCGAGTGGTCATTTGAAACACATCAAATTACGCTTCGTTTTCTCAGGTCAACTCTAAACGCGGCTGGCTTCAAGTGACGGCATCTTCCGCTGTAAAACTGCAGCGATGAAGATCACCGAGTCAAATGATCCCTGCTAGGCCGCATTTATTGTTCTCTCAACCGAACTACGGGGTCTCATCCCGCCCATGTTGGGGGAAGAGTAAAAATGACTGATGGTGAGCTGAGCCAATGAGATCGCCACATTCCGCCGGCCGGGAGAAACTCGACCAATCACCGTTTAGTAACTGCAGAGTGGGCTCGCTTTCTGCGTTCTCTCTAGCAAGAAGTTAGTTCCTGCTCTTCCCTGGCCGTTTCCTGTAATCGTACAGTGTTGTGAGACGGAGAAAGCCATGTGTGTCGATGCAAAGGTAAATTTAGCACCCCGAATTTATTACTGTGAGAGTCGAGGGGGTGGTTGGGATGGTTATTTCCCGGTATTTTTGCCGAAAATTTAGACGCAGACCAACCGAAACAGCATTGCGGCCTAACCTGTGTCTGAACGTTGTCGGGCAGTGGTTATTGTGGCACGTTGCTTTGGTTTGGTCCGGTTTGTTGATGAGATTGAAGGAGTCCGGTAGACTGAATGGTTGCTAGTAAATGACAGAGAGGGGACCCAAGAACCACGGACGTCCAGGGAACCGTCTTTTTGACCCCTGTATGAGCTCCCGGTGTCTCAGACGCTTTGGTAATCGGCACATTTTGGTCGCTGTGGAAGCTAATGCTAGCCGACGGGGTTTATAAGAGAGACTGCGATAGGAGCAGGGAGGAAAACATCCTATATGTCCAGCATCCGTACTCTGCCCGTTTGACTTTACTACACACTATTCCCGTTCAGAACATTTATTTAGAACCACATTAAATATTTAATAGCACCGAATTCGTCTAATTAGGCTTTCCGAGTTTATCCTGCCTTCATTGGACCAACAAAGGTTTTCTGCTCATTTTGTCCACGAATGTATCAAAAAGAAAATCTTCTCTCCTAACGCGTTTTCACTCTTTTATGGACTCTTCCAGGATTAGTAATGATAATTGTTGCTGCATTTTATGCAATGCCTTTCAGAAACGTTCACTCCTCTAGAACTTTTTAACACTTTGTCCAGGTGCAGCCTGAGATAGAGCAACACACAGCAGATCATCACTGTGGAGTGCAAGGAAAACAATAATCTTATTTTACAAGTCTTTACAAAATTTACATCTGAAAAGTGTGGCGTGCATTTGTGTGCGGATGCCTCGCATATAAGGATTCTTTAATCTGAGGCATTGTGTTTCTTATGATGGTTTTGAATAATAAACCTCTGCTACTATCTCTAACAGCTTCTCTTCTTTTATAGCTCCATATTTTGCTCCACTTAGCTTCTCGTCAACTCTGAACTGCTTTTCTGTTTGAGCAGCATGATGCTTCCACCACCATGTCTCACAATCCACATACAATGTATGGCGTTGGATTTTGATCGCACAGCATTTTGCCCGCTGATCATGAAGTAAAAAACACAATTATCTATTTTTATTATACACAAATTAAGTCATTTTACAATTTGGTTGACTTCTGCAGGCAGTTGGACCAAATGTATTTATGTACATCTGAGTAAACTGATATACATAAGGCTTAATTCAAATGCACGTTACATTTTTCAAACTTGTATTTATTTACTTAAGTCTTCTGAAATCTTTTCTTAAATTACACTGTTTTCTTTTACATAAAATACATTAGGTTTTAAGTAAATCCATCAAAATGCAAAAAATATATTTAAGTACTTGGGATATAATTTTAGAATCTGTTCTTTCCGTTTTATGGATTTAGTCATACAATTTACAAGGTTTGGATAATTACACACAGAGTTCAATGTAAACTAATTTACCGCAAGATTGTAGTTACTTTATTATTTGGCCACACTTTGCTTAAAACTTTTTGATCTTTGAAGCTTCTACTACACCAGGATGTTTATGTTGTCTTCATGTTAATATACAATCATTAAGTCTGTATGACAAATCAAAATACCAATAAATACTTTTTACAGTTAAAGTTTCTTAGTTCAGATTGTTTTTTTGTTGTAAATTTTGGTTTATTTATTCATGCTGCCCCAATTCTTGTCTTCTGCAATGCTCTTCTGAAAGTTAAAGCTTCTATTTGATGGTAAGACATTAAACTATTTGTCTTTCTTTCCTCAGCTGTCTACCTGAAAGTTGAGAAGAATCAGGACAACTACCACATCGCTTCCATCTCGGAGTCTTTTAAGCTTTCTGCCCGTCTCCCTGTGCGGAGTGGGCAAAGATGGCGGATCCCATTATGGACCTCTTCGAGGACACTCCCCTGTTCAACCTGGACTCCCTGCCGGATGACTCCTTCTCTCACGGTTCCTCGGACCCTGTGGAGGAAGCTCTAAAGCTGGCTTTGGGGCAGGCAGTCCCGACGGGCGAGCCGGAGTCCGCTCCCGACCTCGCCATCAGCTCCAGCCTCGGCGTTCCTGTAGCAGCTCCGGTCATCCCGGACCCGGCCCCCGTTCACGTTCCCACCCAGCAGCCGGTGCCAGCGGTGCCCGTTCAGACTGTTACTGTCGCCTCGGCCGTCGACGCCGGTGCGGCGGCCTTCATGACCTCAGCCCCCGCCCCGGTTGAGACTGTGCCACAGATGCAGGCCCAGACTTCCATCCCTGTTGCCAGCAACGCCAGTGGGGCTTCCAGTAGCACCGTCCTGCTGAGTTCACCTCTGACTGTTTCCAGCTCCCCAGTGACCACCACCACTGCCACCACGCAGCAGCTGACTCAGATAACTCACCAGCTCACGCCCCAGCAGTTAGCCGCCATCACGCAGCAAGCCGGAGGGAAAATCGTCATTCTCAAAGGTCCCCAGGGTCAGGCCCAGGTACTGCAGGCCGTATCAGGAACCGCGGGTCAGGCCGGTGGAAAGGTCATCCGTCTGTTGTCTGGCACGCCGCTCAAGCCCGGCATGTCCATACTGCAGGGAGGTACAGTCTTAAATCAGGCCAGCCCAGGACAGACCCAGGTCAAGGTGGGGGCTGCAGGGGTGCAGCGCCTGCTGCAGTCCGCCAACGGGCCGGTCAAGCAGGTGTTGCTCACTTCCATGCCTCAGCAGACACAAGGTCAGACAGTTCAGGTGCAGATTCCAGCCCAGGCACAGATGACTCAAGGTCAGACTACTGTCCAGGTTCAATCTCAGCCCCAAACCGCTCAGATCCAGGTCCAGCCTCAGGGCCAGACCACCCAGATCCACCTCCAACCCCAGACCCAGATCCAGGTCCAGCCTCAAGGCCAGGCAGCTCAGCCCCAGATCCAGACCCAGGGACAGGTGCAGCTCCAGCCGGCCATGCAGGGCCAGACGCAGGTGAGCAATACCTGGGTTTCCTTTACATGGAACTGATCTTGCTGCATAAAAGACATCACACCTTCAGAATGAATTTTTAATATAGATTCTCAAAACAATGTGAAGCAAATGAGATTATTAGTTTATTATGATACGTTAAAATTTGCCTTATTTTGAAAAATCAACACTGTCGCTTTCTGCTTGTCTGGCTGCGAAGTTGCTATGCGCTGCGCTGCTTTCAGGAGTGAAGTAAAACTAGAGACGACAGTCTGAGGTAGAGGGAGAGAAAAGGCGAAAGGAAAGTTCCTAAGATGGGTTAAGCTGAACACATTTTTAGATAAAGAGTATGAGAACGATCCCAGGGTTAACAAATGTTGCATTTGAACGACAATAATGCAGTCAGTTAATATAGTTTGGCCTTACTGCGTAATGTTTCAGATACCATTTGAAAAGCACGACACAGATTAACGTCAGCTAATTTTTATTTTATACTCAACACCAAGAAACTTGAGTTTAAAAAAGGGCAGTTCTAGATGTCCTTATTGTGCTAATTGATTGATGTAAGTTTGTACTTTTTACATTTATTTATGAATATTGTTTGTGTTTCACCACATTATTCTGATTCTTTATTCAAAATTGTTTTTTTTTTGTGGTCTCCGTCTGAGAATCTACTGATTGTTGCAGGCTACTTAGAAAATTGTCTGTAGTTCAAAATTAAGGATAAGATTTACTGTAGAGTTTTTTTTCGCACTTGAAAACTCTTGGAATCTTGAGGGATTGCTGATCTGACTTAACTTCGATGGCAAAAAAAAAAAAAATACAAATGACAACCTTGTACCACTCTACAGATATCTTATAATGACTACCCTCTCACCT